CGCAGTGAAAAGTGATCGCGCCAAAGCGTGCAGAATGTAATATATACCGCATCAATGCTTATTTTTGCACATTTTTACCTTCACGTGTAACCACCACAGGCCCAGGGCGCAAAGGTAGTAGATGTTACTGTGATTCCCAACTAGCGCCATCATTTGGGGACGCACCGGGGGGACGGACAAACATACCCCTATGTTCGTACCCATATGTACCTATCCTTATGTGTATATCCATATGTAGGTACCCATTGCGCGTCCTCCCCCATGATTCATTGAATAAAGCCCACATATAAAAAGCCGCAAACGTCGAAATGGGGGGTCTCTTAATCTCCGCTTTCTTCCTGCTGACACTGTTTATCACAAACATTATGTACGGATACATTTATACATTTAACTCGCGAAAATTGAAGCACAAAAAAGGTGCAAATAACAACAAAAATATTCTGGAGTTTTTTTTGCACGTTCAAATTTTGAAGGACATAATCGTAACGTCGATAGTTAATTTCTTAATAAAATTAAAGCTGGTCATTCACTGCGTGACAAGATTTCTCTTTTTTAACGAAAAGAGATACCTCCCGACCGCCAGCCAAGATGTGCAAATTGTAGGTGCGGACAGCCATTATGTCGGTGAAGGCAGCCATTACGCCGATGCGCACAACGAAGGAGACTACAACGAAAGGAAGATTGTTCAAGTGAAGACAATTTACTTCATAAGGCATAGTGAATCCGTGTGGAATAGCGTTTTTAACAGCGGACTCACAGCAACGACGTTTTTCAATTTCTTCCTAGTCCTGTTCTACGAAATTTTCTTCTTCTTTAGTAAAAAATCGGTGATTGTAGATTCCCCGCTCAGTAACACAGGAATCATTCAGTCCATCGAATTATCAAACTTTCTGCAGAAAGAAAGAAGTGCAACGAAGAATGGAGATAAACCTTGCGTAGTTCGGATAAGCCCAGTGGATAAGGACGACGAGCAGACGCGGGTTGACGAAAATGAAGAGATCGAAATGGCAGAAATAGATAACAGAATGTGGGACAACGTAGGGAGTGATAATGGCAAGGAGGACTCTGATGACAATGCCTCGCCTAATGAGAACAACGTCAGTGCGAAATATGCAGATGAGAACACTGGCGAAGGGGGCCCTCTCGTCGATTATGTACATGCAGGAGATGGAAGGACAGGAAATAATACGGGGCAAGTTCTAAGGAAAAGAGGAGCTGGTCAAGATGAAGACGCAAACGCAAACTCAAAGAGAAATGCAGACAGAGGCACATATCTAGATGGAAATACATATACTAATAACGAATCGATCATGCACCGAAGTGACACCCACGTGGAAGATAATCATCTTAATAACCAGCAGGACCATCGAAATGATCTCCAAGTGAACAGAAACAATTACCACGAAAAGTACAACCATAGAGAAATCATAAACCGAAGTGTGAAGGATCATATTGACATCCTCAATAACAATGCAAAATATCCAAGTGCCATTTTGTGCTCAAATTTAAGAAGGGCAGTATCAAGCTGCTTTATAGCCCTCTACAACAGGATAAATAAAAATAACGAAGAGATCCAAGTACTAAATTCACTACAAGAGATCAGCAGAAATCCTGACTGTGTTTCGCTTTTCGATTTTCACGACAATAAATATATCAGCACAGATATTGAGAAATTTGTACACAAAGACGTCGAAAAAATTTGTAAAAAAAATATACGAATTACAAGAAATTTTGTAAGTAACAAATTTTTCGATACCCTCTCATACATTTTTAATAGTGACACGAATATATTTATCATATTTGGGCACAGCCTCTGGTTCCGCCTTTTTTTCAATTACTTCCTGAAGGGGCCTCACAAGGCGAAAACGCACAAATTGCACAACTCGGGGGTCGTTGTTTTTAATATGATTAAGTATTACCAGGGTAACGAGGTCCATTACGAAATTGAGAAGTACAGCGTGCGCATCCTCTATAAGGGATTTCTAGAGAAGAAGCATACCAAGGTTGACTAGGCGCTGCTGAGGTTGCCAAGTCAAACGGGAGAAGCAACAAAAAAACGTTGACCATTGGACTAAGCTGCCAATGTCCGGGAAGAGACTGAACAAAACGGCGTGCCTCGTGCTGCCTGCCGTCGAACGTAATGATCAGGTGAGGGAATTTTTATTCAGCAAAGTGACTGTGCCAAAGGTTGACAAAAGTTCACAAGAATTGACGAAAGTCGACTTCGCGATGGATAGAACGAACGAACACTGTTGGAGAGGACCAAGAAAAACAATGTGGAAGTCAGTTACCCAAATGAGCGGATAAAATTATGAGGACAAAATGGGTTGTTAAAAATGCCTGAGGCGAACATTAGGATAGAAAATCGGTCGGAAAAAAAAAACTGCAAATTGATGCGAAACACTGCGCATGGAACTGGACAAATTTTTACAATTTTTTTCGTTATACGTGAAGTATGCATAATGCGTACGGATTCAGAGTGACGCCTAGTTCTTCTCATTAGGGTTATTGCGCTACACATTGTGGCTTTTTTCTCGGCATTCTTCTGCTTGACAATATTTTGCCGTCCTGCCAAAATAAGGGTCAGTTGCGCGAATTCACATAAACACGGCACAATTATTACTTTCAGCTTTTTGATACTTAATCGAACATAAATAAAAGCAGAATTCCTCTTCCCACTTCGTCTGTTTTGTTTAATCTCATTTTAATTTTTACTCTATTTTTTTTTTACTTTATCTGAATGCTTATTTTTTCGAAAATGTTTTTCTTTTTTTGTACCAAACGTTTGTACTTTCTTTGCCAACCTTTTTTGAATTTTTTTTTTCTAAATTTTTGCATCTTTTTCTAAACCCTATAATTTTTTATTTATTATTCCATATTTTTTCTACCATTTTTGGTCCTGTAGAAAAAGTACCTTTTCCGTATGCCTTTTTGATTTATAACTCCATGCGCATTTATTTATTTTTGCTTCCGTCCACATTTGGTATTTCATGTTTCATGTTTTGTAATATTTTTTGGGGGCTTCTTCCCTCTTCCAGGATATTATATTTTTTACTATGATATCTTACCAGATGGCCGCATTCATTCATGACCTTTTTTTTTTTTTTTTTTTTTTTTTTTTTGTTCTCATTTTTATTTTAATTTGAACATGCAAAGAAAAAACTTCTTGTCCCTTTTTCTACCCCCATACGAATTTATATGAGTTATGAATTTGTTGTTAATGTTAATTTTTTTCTTTTTTGTAGATTTTATATTTTTTTAGTTATATGATAAGGGAATAAGAATATTGGACTAATGGAAGTTTAGATGAATACCAACTTTGGTGGATTTAGTCTAACATAACTGAAATGAGTTAATCAGTTCTGGTTCATCTATTCAGGTTAATCTATTAAGGTTAATCAATTTGTCTTACTTATTTTGAAGTGCCCGTCCTGAAGTTCTAATTGTTTAATTATCTAATTAATTGACCTACCCATATCTTCCAGCAGTTTCACATGCCCCATTTCTTCTCCTTCGCATGTTGACGCAGTTTCATTTTTCTTAATTTTTTTCGTTTCAATTCGCTTTCAAGAGCGCATGAATTGCTCTCACGAGCGAATGAGTCATTATTTTTGTCGAAGGGTGTATACATACGGAGAGATATCCATGTGGTTGCGCCAAAAAACACAGTCCATATTCCTGAGAGGGGTGCGGAGATGGTTTTAAGAACGCCTCTGACCCTTTTTCCGACCCCTGTTTGCGTGATTAGAGCTATGTATCATTGATTTTGCTACTTTAGCCCTTCCGCTGCGCTGTCTGTATAAAGGCGCATAACCAGGGGGGTCGTTGCGCGAAATTCCTTTTCAAAAAGTTTTTCTTCCCCAAACGCAAGGCGGCATCAGTGCCAGGAGAAAAAACTCATGGTGTATGTATTGTTGCTACCTCGGCAAGGGTGCCTTTTCCGATGGGAAAAATATGACATTGGGAATTGGCACATCGGAGAGACCCATCGGACAGGCGCATTGCGGCGCCTGAATATTTCGTGGCCACACGAACGCGTAGAAAACAGATATATATATGATGATTTTGAAGCTAGCACCTTGTCAAAGCGTATACGTATGGATTCATTCGTTCAGTTCATTTGAATTCGAATAAATTACCATCTCCCCGCTCCTAGCGACTATTACACACCGTGTAGTGACGAAGACCGCAGAGCGCACCAGTGTAGCGGTGCTGGTCCCCTTCAATGTGACGATCGAACACGTGCATATGTAGCAGATGCAGAAGAAGAACAAAAAAAAAGGTATAATAGGAGAAATAATTAAGCACAGAAAAGATTAAGCAGTGAAAACACCTGAGTAAAAAAATAGGTCGAAGCAAATAACGTCAAGTTAAGGAAACAAATCCCGAATTAACAACACCCCGTGCGCTTTTTTTTTCTTTTTTTTTTCTCCTGTACGTGTCGTCAAAATGCCACACTCGGCGCTTAGCTACCTGATCAGAATTAAGCTGATCATCTATTGCTTTAAGAGACTCCTACTGTTTAACAAATACAAACACATTCAGCTAGAAAAACAGAAAAGGAAAAAGAAAAAGAAGAAAAAGTTAGAATATGAAGAAGCAGGGGATGTACTTGTAAATTCTGCTTCCTATGAAGCACCCGTAAAAAAAAAACTCCAGACGAAAACAATTTATTTTATTAGACATGGTGAATCAATATGGAACAGTGTGTTTAACAGAAAGATAACAACCAAGAATTTTTTGAACATCTTTCTCATTTTCTTCTACGAACTATTTTTTATTTTTACCAAAAAGTCCAGTTTACTTGATTCTCCATTGAGTAAAAATGGTATACAAGAGTGCCTCGAGTTATCCAAATTTTTAAACGACAGCATACATGATTTAGAAAATACCGATTTCTGTGGAGGCGATGAACTTATGCAGTTAGAGTATATAGATAAAGCCACCAAGGAGATGGACGCCTTCTATGGTAAACTATGTGATGAAAACTTTGACCCGGTTACCCTGCAAGAAAAACACTACCTCAGTATTTATGATGATTTTTATTCTATCGCTACTGAGGAAGAAAAGGAATATGCAAAAATTTGTGATGGAGATCACGAGCTATCCGAGTTAGAACAGCACTTTAAAAATATTTGTGATGGATACTTTGATGGGTTACTATACGAAGGAGCTAAGTTTGTTCCTCGTAAAATTGAAGGAGATGATGATTATTTCTCCTGCGAGGAAGAGAGTGATGAGGACTCTTTAGAAGATGACCAGGGTCATTCATCTAAAGATTCCAAATCAACCTTGTCACGTTCCACAAGTAAATTGCCACAAACATTTGGTTCTCAAGGCAATATAACTCCCTTGGAAAATAGTAATGCAGAGGGACCCAGAATTCCTGATATACCTGCTATGACTGTCCGACCATCGGAAGTTCCCACTCCTAATATGGTCCCATTACCTGGTTCTATGCCAAATATAGACCCCCTGCTGGGTTCTCTACCAAATGTACCTAGTATGACTGCCCTCCCCTCGAATCTAGCGCAAATGATGCGTCCAGACATGGCAATAGCCCCAATGGCAAACTCAACAGTTAACCAGGGTCAAATGTCAAGCAGTCCCTTCACGGAAGTAGCACCACCAGGGGTTATGACACATAATATGCAACCTCACCAGGAAGAAAAAAGTAAAAAGCAAAAACAAAAAGAAGAAAAAATGAGAAGGAAAGAAGAAAAAATGAGAAAAAAAGAAGAAAAAATGAGAAAAAAAGAAGAAAAAATGAGAAAAAAAGAAGAAAAAATGAGAAAAAGAAAAGAAAAAGAAGAGAAAAAAATGCAAAAAAAACACAAAAAGAAAAAAGAAGATAAACACAAAAATGAAAGTAAAAAAGGCAAAAAGCACAAAACTATATCGGGCATATTGAAAATTCTAGACTGTAAAGAGAAATCTGTTTTTAGCGATGAGGAGGATTATGTTGATGAAGAGGGAAGCGATTCTGTAGAGAAACCCAAAGAGCAAGATATCCCAGTTAAGATGGGTATACGAAGTCTGGTTCTAGCGAAATGGAGAAAGCCCATGTTGTTAAAGACCAAATCGCTATCTGCGAAAGCCGATACCACCAGCGAGGCCCCACCCGCAACTGCACCTCAAGCGGGTCCACCAGAAGTGACTCCACTCACTGCAGCCACACCAGAAGTACCTACACCTAAAGCGGATACTACAACCAAGGCAATTGCACGTAAAGTAGAGGAAACCAATGTAGAGGAAACCAATGTAGAGGAACCCAAAGTGAAAGAACCCAATGTGGGCGAAGCAGAAGTAGGTGCACCCAAGGTAGAAGTTCCAAAGCCGGGACCATCCAAAGTGGAAAAACCCAACGTGGAGGAACTCAAAGTTGGCGAAGCAAAAGTTGTCTTCCCGAGAGAAGGGGCACAAAAAACTGTCGAACCAAAAGTCTCCCATTCGACAGTCTCCGAACCCAAAGTTGTCGAACCTGGCGATAGGGCAATTCCACAAGCTGATAATGCTGCTACTAGATGTCCCGCACTCGGAAGATCTCTCACAAAAGCACTCACCGGTTCTTCCAATCAAATATCAACTTCAGCAGAAGAAACACCAAGCACCTCTAGCACCGTTGATACTAAAAAAGAAAGTAACGATGGCAGTACCCTAGACATTCCGAAGAAAAAACCAATATGCTTAAGACGTATGGCCATGGAGAATATTCTCCGGCGCACCCGCCGTACCTCCAGTATGAAAAGTGAAGAAGATTTTCATATTTCACTAAGTTCAAGTTCTGTTGGAAGTATACATCAGGACACAAGTAGCATAGAGGATGAAGAAGAAGAAGAAAACTCGGACAACTTAGATGCCTTCGAAAGTGGAGATAGTATAGTAACTGAAGATCTTGATAAACAGTGTATATCAGAAAATATCCTTGATATGAGTGTAAAGGAACACATCGATGTTCTTAATAACATGAAATATAAAAGTGTTGTGTTGTGTTCAGATTTAAGAAGAGCCATTACAACTTGTTTCATTGCTCTGCAGGATCGATTCAAAACATCTGACGAAAACGTCTATCTACTGAAATCACTACAGGAACTTAGTAGAAATGTAGATTCAATTACTTTGTTCAATTTCTACCATAAGTATGTTACCCCTAAGACTAAAAATTACGTCAGTGATGATGTTGATGCTTTGATTAAGCAGAAAGTTAAAGTGGCCCCCCAAACAAACAAAAGAAGATTCCTGGATACCCTCTCATACATTTTTAGTGATCCAAACAATATCTTTATCATTTTTGGTCACAGTTTGTGGTTTCTAAGTTTCTTTAGGAGCTTCTTAGAACCACCACACAAGGCAAGAAATCACAAAATGAAAAATTCCAGTGTTGTCGTATTTAACATCAGCAAATATAAAGATGAGCACGGAGAGGAACAATATCAAATTGACCCGGACAGTGTTAAGGTTGTTTTCAAGGGTTTCGAGAATAAGGTCTACAGTAAGGACTAAATGTGCTTAAAAAAAGAAAGAAAAAGGGGAAATAAAGAAGAACACTCCGGTGGGGAGTTACAAAATAGGCAATATGCAGGGAGAACTCTGAGTGAATAGCGCCAGAACAGCCGCGTAACCGGTGAGTAGTCCCAAAACGTTACTTAAAAAAAAAGAAAAAGAAAAAGCAAAGTTGAAGCAGCGCAACGGAGAAACATGCGAAAGGCGTGTCAACGTCTACTGTCAAAAAGGGTGCACCTCACGCGGGAAGAGAGGTACATAAGAAGAATAACAAAAGCCGCGGTGCTATGAGTTCACCATATTCAAATACATATACCTACCCGTTTGGGAAAAAAAATTAAAAAAAACGCCTAAATCGTTTTCGCCCACCCTACACCGATTTTGTGTTATATTAAAATTCTCCAAATTTTAGTACACTTTATCACCAGGTTAATGTATCTCCCCTGCGTAAATTTCATTCCTCAATTTCGTCGCTCCCCGATTTGTACATTTATTCGTTTATCCTTTCGTTTATCTATTTGTACGTATCTGCGTACATTTCTTTGCCACTATTATTAATGGTAGTGGTATTTTATTTCATTTTTCTTCCATCATTTTGCTTCCTTCAGTTTGTTTCCTTCATTGAGATTCACTTCCCTTTTCTTACTTCCACTTTCTTATTTTTTTGTTACAGCAATTTGGTTAACTCCAAAATCATGCTCTTAACGTTCAAGAGCGAACTCCTGCTAAATTCGTACCTGCGTAAAAAAAAAAAGTATATCTATTAATTATTTCTCCCATTGTTCAGTGCAACAAACGCTTGGACAGCGCCGCTGCACGGTGTTCACTTATATTGCACACATGTATACACACGCGTTGATGGCCCCACGCCCACCATGTCCTGGTTACCTGTTCATGCTGACTATGTACCGAGCCTTCCTCAAAAAGTAGTAGTGAGAAATTCTGTTCTTATGAAATATCGAAAGGAATTGCAAAAAGGTAGAAAGGTCCAAGGAGTATATCTCATCGCACAGCTGCCGCAAAAGGGTGCTAAAAAAGGCATTGTCCTTCTGAACCATGTGCAGATGATCCATCGATATTAATATGCGGAGAATACTGGTTGGGCTGAACTTCAACTCTCCGTGTGCCATTCGATCCTGCACAACTGTCTTAACTTCGTTAAAGTACGCTAGCGCTTCATTCTCCTCTATGATGCTGGAAAAGTAAAAAAAATTGGCTAGCTGCTTTTCCTTCAAATAATAATTAAAAAAAAAGCTCTGCGAATGTGCAAGCGTCTTTTCAATCTGTTTCCTTGCAATTCCAAACTTTTCACGTAGGTGCTTAAATTGGGGATTGAATAAATTCAAATCTAGTATATACTTTTCCGATAAATAATTCACTTCCTTTTTTTTCTCATTGTACAGAAATGTTATATCGCTCTTGGACGGGTCTTCATCGTCCCGCACACTATTGTAGTAATCCTCTATCAGCGTGGAACCTTCGTTGATCGCATAGTCCCTGTCGCCCAGGGAAATCTTCTTATACATATTCAGGTACACCAAACTGACGTTCTTCAACGAAGTTATTAATTCGCTATCCCGTACGTTCTTCTCCGTAACAATTTTCATACAGTACGTTAATAAATACGCTGGCATTGTATGCACATCTCTACATATCCGTTTTATGATCTCTTTTTTTAACTGCTCTACCTTATCATTTGTCAACTTGGATTCGCATAACCCTCTAAAAATTAAGTACACTTGAAATAGGCTAAAGTTAGTTATATTATATTTCACCTTGCCGTACAGGAAATCGTTAAATAGGTGAAAATAATGGCTTAAATTTACTTCCAAATTTGGAGCACCCTTCTCTGCACAGGGGGATTCTTCTTCCACTTTGTCGTAGACTTTCTTCTTCGCGCTCCTCTTGTGTAGAGGGTCCTCACTCCCGTTGCGTCCCCACCCACTGTGCGCATCTTCTAAGACCCCATATTTCAAAAAGGGGTATGTCACCAGGGATATATTTTCCAATGAAGTGTTAGTTAAATCATTCAAAATATGGTTGTAAATAATTTTATAAATTCTCTTCCGATGCACCAGTTTGTCCCTCAATGCGTAAAACAAAATGCTAAGATAGTTGTTATCCAGCATGTAATACTCCTTTTCAATTTTTGCAAAGATATAATTCCACTTTAAAAATTTTCCCTTGGTAAAAATACAATCCGCAAAGCATAAAATGGATATGTGCTTTATATTTAACTTCTCCATGTTGTCGTTCAGGTAGATTACTAATTTTTCTATCACATTTCTGTTCCTTTCCTGGATGAACAAGTTGACCCTATCCAGTTGGCAATAGACAAGGAGAGCCGAGCACACAGAGTCAATTTCACTCAAATCGAGATCGTACCTATTAAACGTCTTGGCAATGCTATCGAAAAGTAAATAAGCGTTGTTCACATTTTTCCTAATGTGTAGGGAGTTCCCGTCGTCGGAGTTGCACCCATTTGTGCCAATCCTATTAAAAGTGTAAAAGGAGCTGATCAGACTTAACACACTATTAACATCGATGTCGTTTCTGTTCAAGATAAGCAGGGAACTGTGCTCGACCACCTTTTTGTATACCTCTTCATTATAATAACTGTTATTATTATTCATTGCATAGAGTATATTTGCGCAGTTTTTTATATTTAGGGAGTACAAATTGGTGCAGATATTCCCAAGCATGGTCAGAAAAAAGTAGTGGTTATAGAAAATTGCCTGCGAGGCGTATTTAAATATATAGCTTAACACATTTCCATTAACTTTGTGCGCAATTCTTGTGCATCTGTTTAGCAGATTCTTCCAGATGAAACTTTCCAAAATGTTCTCTTTTATGCATTTATTCATAATTACACATAGAGTTATTTCGTCCATTTGTTCAATATATAAGCTGCCCCCCAATTTGCTATGCAGTGATATATTTGGGTAGCCAAAAAAATTTAAACTTGTCTTTTCATTTATCATATCTTGGTTCCCATTTTCCACAACAAACTGTTTATTCACATGTTTCTGCTTCCAGTATTCTCCCTTAATGTTAATTTTGTGCACATTCGAATTCTCCGCCAGGGGTCTCCTCGTTTTGTATTTATCGTTTTGCTTACTCCATTTCCTCTTGCTTGGGGGGTTATAATGCCTTTTGTTCAGAAGGAAGAAGAAACATTTCTGGTTTGTTTTCATTTAAATTATATTTTTTCATAAAGTTGGCAGAATAAGTAGAGGCCCCACATGGGTTTATTAAAATTGGGCGCAATGACCAAACGTTACGACGAAGAAAAGATCATCTCAACAGCGGAAATCTGGCACAACGTTGTAATTTTGGAAAAAAAAAAAATTTATATATATTTTTTTGCCCTTTTGCACACACATCGGAATAAGGAAGCAACGTTTGTCAAGCCCTTCTACAGCCCCTTCCCCTTTCACCACATCGTACTTTGCATACTTTTACGACCACCAGAACTTGTTTGCCTACAAACATTCTCTCACTTTGGAGAAGTTGCCCCTCAGCTTCTATAGGCGTGGTTACATACTCTTACGGCGTTCGCCAAGATGGTACTATTTCGTGGGTATATAAAATCCTCCGTCAAAAGTACTCCCAGGAAAATACAGCTAAATTGGTACGCTTTATCAGGTATTTTTTTTTTCTCAATTATTCAACTTTTTCCTGAATAGAGGAGAAAAAAAAAAAACTAGCTAAATGCACATTTATTGAAACGTGAACATATAGTAAAGCATCACACAGAATTGTACCATTTTAGCGCCTTCACTACAAATGCGTGGAACGCAAAAACACCTAAATGAATCCTCAAAAGTAGCATTTGATCACAAATTGGGATGGGCCTACTTATATTGTAGGGGCAAAAAAAAAAAAAAACGATTTAAAGGTAGCACTGGGGACCTCGGCAGTGCTGTGTGGCAAACTACATACTATTGCTGCTGTGCAATATTTAACGGTGAACCTTTTTTACTCTGTTTTTTTTCACTCCCTATGAATAATGGAGGAGTGTACTGTATATAGAACGTACTTTTGCGAAGCCACATAATGGTATCACTTCGCTAGAATGCGGCGATACCTTCGTCTTGGTAATTGTACTCCCATTTGAGGTATTAGGAGGTGTGGATAAATGGCACATATATATACACATGTGTGTCGAAGAAAAACCATACAATGTGGGAGTAATTTGTACAACTTTCCCTCATCAACGTGTTTTTCCCTAAAATGGGTACCTTACAAAGGTCTATTACGTAATGGGCAACGTATTTTGAGTCACTTTTTTGGCTAGTTGTAAGAAATGCCAAAGAATACTTTTAACAGAAACGTTGTTTTACCTTTTTTTGGGGGACACGTACGACCAAAGTGGAAGGCATAAAACGGTTGGAAGAATACACAAATGAACTACATTAACACATAACTCATGTCTGACGAGATGGCCATGGCCACACGCTACCATACATTTTAACTTTTTCATATAAAGTACCTATACTTGGAACTCGCTGTGACTTATACTTAGCAAGCATTTTTTTAACCCACCATGCTAAGCTTCCCGGTTGAAGGAAATATTCGTAGCAAAAAATGGGATGCAAAAGGGTTAATCCAATTTGTATGCACATGCCGGTGTTAAGCGTAATGAAACTCCTCCGCAATGGAAACACATTTGTCACTAAAATGTGCACATAAATAAAAATAAAGCTACTGCATTTATTAAACATACAACCGAATGGAATGGAAAATATAATTTCTTTCAGCTTTACAAATTATAAGGGAAAAATTGCGTCATGGCCTGCACTGTTTTGGTCAAGATTTCCAAAATGAGAAAGCCGTTGTGTATGAACAAAGAGTCTCATTTTTTCTTTCAAATTATCGCATTTTTGTGACGGGAATGTGTTACTAATATAGACGTGCAATTTCTTCTCCTTCGATTAATTGCATTTCTATGTATGACACACATGGCAGTTATGAAAATTTACTTCTTTTTTACCCCCTCGTGTATACTTCAACCACTCATCCGTTGTCACTTCTCATTTTTTTCTTTTTATTGCTACATAGTGTGAAGGCATCTTAAAAAGTTAAATAAACTTTTTCACCCTTTGAAAATGTTTCAAATGTACAATCTGTTGCTCGCATATGTAGGCATGACGGAAAATGTGGATTTTATTCCTCAATTTATTTTCCATTATGTACAGGTTGATTATATGAATCTCTTAAGCGCTCCTTCAGATAGCAAGAAATAAAAAAAAGGAAAAATATTTACTTATGTGAGAATATCCCTTGCCCTATTTCTTAATGCCAATTTTTATGTAGACAAAGAATCCGACAGAATTAGAAAACACAACTGTTTGGCAGAAGAAAGCAATTAGGCTTTCCCCTATTTGAGCATCCTTACACAAATTCGTAATTTAATTTATTGGCAAACGTAAAAAATTGAACATCCCTTAGGAATGAAGGGAAATTTATACATGCCTGTGTAAACATTTTTCAACGTGCTAACACATTTCTCCATGTACCATTCTGTGCAACTGTTGTGATGAAATGTGAACTTTTCAAGAAGAAAATAGAATAAAAGGTTAACCTTTTTTGCAAAGTTGCGAAAAAAATATTATTCCAAAATGGCCACGTGCTTTTATTAGTTAATTCGGCAGTGTGGCCCTTTGTCCCCCGTGAGAGACGTAATCATGCGTAGGTACGAACGTCGGTACATGTAAATGTTCATGCATATGTGAGAATGTCCTAGAGCAAGGATTGTGTTTTCCCCCCAAACAGGAAATATAAACCGGCGCACTGGAAAAAACGCCTCTGCTGGAATGTGTAAAGGAAAAAAACGCGTCTTGAAGCGGCCATCAACACTGACGCGCGAAACATCACGCGTATCCATATAAATGCAACCTTAATGTAACAATTTTGAAATTTGGGGGGAGAAAATAAAATTTCACTTGCACTGAAAGGGCTAAATATGAGCAGATAAGGCCAACCCTTACTCGTAAAACGCGATAATTTCTTAAGAGAAAGAAAAAAGGGGAATACCGATTTAAAAGGATGCAAAAAAGGTGAAAAAGTAGGCAGGAATCCGTAATAAAGGTAAAAGAAATGAAAAGCAAAGAATGAAAACGAAGGAAAACTAAGTGACGCGAAGCAAAATAGCAACAATGCGGAATAGGCGCAATGGCTCAGCACACCTGAAATGTGCTGGCCGAAAGCCCTCCTCAAACCTAGGCCAGTGCGCAATGAAGGCAAAGCACATTTCGCACGTCCAAGCTTTCGCGCGTCGCACATATGCACATTATGCAAGGGTACTGCGTACGTCCTCACATACGTACATACATGCGAATGCACAAGCTAATGCGAGGCGTAACTGTTCCTGTGAAACCTTCGTACGAGGGGTACCTTGCAGTACTATACCCATTGCAAACGAGCGCAGGGAAAAAATTATCCCGGAAAATGATTTCTTTGTAGAATAGTTACGCACAATTTTGAGGTTCATGCGACGCATTGTTAAAGGAACTATAAAATTTTAGCAGCACATTAGCTAAGCACAAATTTTGTTTTCACCTTTGCGCCTTGCCTCTACTCACGCAAACGCGTTTTCCTCACCGTTACTTTTACCCCTACGTTTACATTACGTTCAGTTAACTTCTGCTTTTGCCTTTGCTTTTATTTTTATTTCCCAGCGCCAACAAAGGAAGCAACACCCCACCTGCCAAACGAAAAAAGGTAGATAGCCATTTTATGGTGTAATATGACCCAGTGTGATGATAGAAATATGACAGTGAGGCATTAGGCGGCAAAACATAAGGAGCCAACCCAATGGCTGTAAAAAATATGGCCGTATCCCCTAGCGCAGCGAGGCAGGTTATGTCACACGGTACTACACTTTGACGAAGCTTAGAGGGAATGAGATAAAGTGCAAAAAGAACATAGCACAAGGGAATTTCCCAGCCGCGCTGAGATGCCGTGAACGTCGCCACTTTTCCCCTCCTACCCATTTGCTTACATTCGCGCCTATATGCACGTATCCTTACGCCTTTGCACGTGAAACAGCTTGTATAACCCACGAGGAAACTGAGAAATTTATTTTCCTAAGACTGCATCACATGTGAGAAAACGTAAGGAGGAACTGGAAAAACAAGAAGGGACAAAAGAAAAAAAAAAAACAAAGCCAAGTTCGAGAGTCTGAAAAAGTGAGCGCAAAAAGGAAGCACACGGAGGGCAAAATAAAAAGAGAACGTTAACTCAGCGTTGTTCTTGTCCACCAATCGATACTTACCAGCTCACCCTTACGCACCTTCCCTTCATGCATGCAAAGAGGCGCGCCTTAACACTCCCCCACGTACACACGAATCCCCGCTTTTTCTCACATACATACGTGCACTCGCCTTTATGTGCACTCTCTTTTATGTGTACTCTCCTTTATGTGCATTCACCTTCATGTGCACGCCCCTTTATGTGTACAACCGTCTTGAGCCAAAAGGTCCCCCAAAAAGGGAAAAAAACGAAGCGCACAAGCGTTTGAGCAAGTATCTATAAAAGGAGAAAGAAAAGGCCACACCTCTCTTTTTGCGCGCGCCACATTGCACCACTCTTTACGCGGCAAAGTCGAAACAGCATGAACACCTTGAACAGCATGAACGGCATGAACAATATGAACAATATGAGCAACATGAGCAACATGAACAACATGAACAGCATGAACAGCATGAATACCATGAGCAACAGCTCGCAAGCGTTTAGCGCCGAGAAAAATGAAGCCACCTACGGAGACACAAGGATGTCAGAGCAGCAGCAACAAATGCAGCAGCAGTGCAACTACCAAATGAATAACCCATACAACCCGGCACCGTCCATCCCCACGAAACTCTTTGTCAGTTCCATTCCAAAAAGTTTAACAGAAAATGATATAAAAACGATATTTGAAGAATACGGAAGTATCAAAGATGTGGTTTTCATAAAGGACAAGAAACCAAACGTAAATCGAGCCAATGTATTCGTCCGAATGGAGTCAATATATTATGCACAAAAAGCTATCCAAGATTTACACGGAAAGAGAGTACTGTGTGAAACCTTAGGACCATTGATAGTCAAATTTGCCATAGGGGAGTTGGAAAAATATGGAGTGAATATGCATAACGCGAATGAAAGTGAAGCCAAATTATTTGTTGGCTCTCTTCCAAGGGAGATAGCAGAA